TCTTGTCCGCCGTTGCCGAGGTTTATCCTTCAGCAGGACACCGCTACTGTCTAAGACATATTATGGATAACATCAATCGTTCTGGTGCCAAGCTTTCTATCGACGACAGGCGCATAATTTGTTCTATGGCTCGTAGCGACTGCGAAAATGACTACAAGCTTTTTCGAAGTGAATTACTGGCTTCTAAACCCAAGGCAGTAGAATATCTGGACAACATCGACCAGAAACATTGGGTCAAACACAAATTTTGCGAAACATTCGGACTGCCAACGTTCGGAGAGATTACCTCAAATTTGTCCGAACAAGCTAACAATTGGATGGGTAGTGAAATGAGGAGTTCCAAACCTCTTGACGCATTTCACATGTACTTCAAGCGCCTTAGTGAACTCACGTCTGAAAAACGACAATTGGCGTCGAAATGGATTAGTAACAGCGGTGGACATCGTTTGGTTCCTCTATTGCAAAGGGAGCTGGAAGATCGAGCCAAGGCTGCTTCAATGTGCGCAATAACTCCTCTCCTAGATGGCGCTTTTTCGGTTCAGCACCTTGGTCCCCAGAGCAAGCATGGATATATCCACCCCTGGCGCGTAGTTGATCTTCCGGCCACTGAGTGTACGTGTGGCAATTGGAAGGATGAAAATTTTCCGTGCATTCATGCAATTTGTGATGTTGTTCACAATGGTAGCAGATTTGAAGAGCTATACGACAAGATTAAAACAAGCTCATAATGCTCTATGAGGATAGCTATAGTGATTCCCGACTCTGTTTCTTTATATTAAAAATACACTTTCTTTCTTATAAAAGTATTTGTTTTTTTTTGCATTTTGTAATTGCAAATCAAATTTTAGCTGAATATTATCTTTAAAACTTTGCTTCACAAGTCATGTTTTGGAAGCACTTCAGATCGTCCAGTATTGAAATTTCGAAATTGTAATCCAATAACATTTTCAGTTGTTCCCTTGGGGTGTCTATACTAAAAATTGTATGAAACAGTGTTTCTTGTTTGCGAGTCATAAGATCTCGACTACAGCGTCCCAGACTTGGACATTAAAATATTGAATTCTTTAGGTGTATTTGTGTTTTGTGAATTTGTTTTGTGATTTGGAGACGTCTACAATACATTTTTTTTTTAGCAAACGGCATCGCTTCTTATGCATTACACGTCCTCAACTATGATAGCACTAGATGCATGCCATTCTACAATTTCTGTAATGGCGCCTTTGAACAAGAGAGGAAAACACACACGCAACTTCCAACGCAATCTCGACGGCTCCTTTTACAGATTGAGAGTCAACCAAAATTAACTAATCGGCCTCCCCCTGAAGAGAACCCGGCGTTTCGACCGCAGAGTGGCAACGGTTTATTTCGAGGAAGGCAAGCACAAAGAGGGCGAGGTGGGGAGACATTTGAGGTTGAGCGCCTTTATGCAAAACGATGGGTCCACACTCTTGAATTCTACTTAGTGCAGTGGGTAAACCATAGA